TTCCCTGGGCACAACGAGTTCTTACGGGCCAACAGCACCTCGGACTCTATGTTCACAGAAACGCCTTCCCCAGTGCTCAAAAATGCCATCTCTCTCCCAACCATTGGAGGGTCCCAAGCTCTCATGTTGCCTTTATTGTCACCTGTGACATTTAATTCCAAACAGGAGTCCTTTGGGCCTGCAAAGCTGCCAAGGCTTAGCTGTGAGCCGGTCATAGAGGAGAAAGCTCAGGAGAAAAGCAGTCTGTTGGAGAACGGGACAGTGCACCAGGGAGACAGCTCGTGGGGGTCCAGCGGTTCCGCATCTCAGTCCAGCCAGGGCAGGGACAGCCACTCCTCCAGCCTGTCCGAACAGTACCCCGACTGGGCGGCCGAGGACATGTTTGACCATGCTGCTCCATGCGAGCTCATCAAGGGAAAGACCAAATCAGAAGAGTCTCTCTCTGATCTTACAGGTTCCCTCCTCTCCCTGCAGCTTGATCTTGGGCCCTCACTTCTAGACGAGGTGCTGAATGTCATGGATAAAAATAAGTAACAGGATGCCAGCTCTTTTCCTTTGGGGTGAAAGGCACCAAAACAAAACAAGACAAAACAAAAATACTAAACTAACCACAGTTGAAGGGAAGAGCTTCACTGGCTGTATTTGCAGTCGTGTGATGGGTTTTCTAAAGTAACCTTCCTACAAAATATTTTTTTACCTGTTATGCCCTGTTTGCAAAAACAGTTTAGAAAAACAAACCTGTCCTGGCAGAAGGAGGAAGTGAGTCAGAGCCCATTTTCGGTGGGCATTGCTGAGGTTCAGCTCACATTTTTTGCAGACATGTAAGAAAGCTGCCTTGGCCAGGATTGGCACTAGCTATGAAGGGCTGGGTGAGTCACATTAAGGAACTTTACAGTACTCCAACATTTTCTGAGCAAGAGGAAGTCAAAATTTATTTAACACCTAAGCCTTTTTTCTAGACTCTTTTCTATATTATATTGTTTGGGCTCACAAAAGCAAATTCTCTGTTGTTAAAACTTTTCTCCGTTTTCACATTTGAACAACTTTATGGGTTTGGGGGATTTTCTTGTAGTTCTTATATATCCTGTTATATTATATCTATATTGCAAAATTTTGACTGTCAGCTACGTGTTGGTAAGACACAAGCAAAGTATTACTGTAACTAAGTTATTTTTAAAGTTAAAATATATTTTTATGTGCCTTTGGCTTTTTATTGCAGAGTCTACATTTTATAGATAAAACATCAAATGTTGTCATTCGACTTGTTTCCTTTGGGG